CTTCATTATGGGTGTCTGGGAAACAGATGACGAGTATCTCAGTGGCCCGGCTGCTACTTCGCTGCCAACACCTTTGGATACTCCCTATCGAACTCCATCGAGAGCATCAAAGAGGTCCCGGCGCTCGGTCACACCACCTGGAAAGGATTCTTCTACAGCTCAATTACCCAACGAGACAGGTTCTAAGAGATCCTCACGAAATATACCGACCGATGAAACCATTAGTATTCTCGATCCTCGGCGTTTCACACCAACACTCCACGCCAACCTCGTCTCCGAGATCTTGTCTCTCCGCCGAGACCAGGAGGAGAAGACAAGGCAGATTGAAACCCTCGAAGCATCTCTTCATGCGGCAAAGGAGGAAAAAGAGTCAGTAAAGCAAAATCTCACTGAAACGAATAAGGAGAGCAGATCGCTCAAACGACAACTTTCCCTTCTGGAGGGTGGATCGTCATCTGCATTAGGAGAACTTGCTCGGGAGAGAGACGAGGCTGTCGACTCTGTCGCTGATGCGAGAAAGCGACTCGAAACTGCCCAGAAGAAGATCCGGGTCCAGGAGGAGGACTCGCAGCGTGTTCACGAACTATGGGCACAAGAAAAGGATAGCTGGGAAGATGAGAGGCGGAAGTTTGAGAGACGTATTCATGTTGCAGAAAGCCGCTTGAAGACTGTGCTTGATGAGGTCGCCGCATATCAACAAGCCCAAATCAACACTACCCACGGTGGAGCTAATCATGGAACTGGCAACGGCCATGATAGTGAAGTTGAGGAAAGCGGTCGGGAGAACGATGCTGCTAGTGTGAGGACCATGAGTATGACCAACAGCATTCGCTTTTCCATGACAAGCGGCACTGGCATAATGAGGCTAAATGGTAACTCTCTCGCTGATGAGCTCAATTTTGATGACGAGGATGAACAAAGCGACTTTGACGGCCGGGAAAGCGCCATGTCAAACTACGCAACATCGTTCCACACGCGCAATCTCAGCCGCGACAGTCCAGTGAAACGGTTCCATGCTCGAAATCAGAGTCTGGAGAGTATCAAGAGAACCGGAAGTGTCACTCGGGGCAGACTTTTCATGAATCAGTCAGTGCCTGAAGCCCTGGAAGATGAAGAAGACGAGGGGAAACCCGTCTCTGCACCAGTTTCTGTACCAAAGCTTTCGTACACTGACACGGGAATCCAATACTCGCCGCCGCCTTCACCCAAGCTTCCTCCTGCGAAGCCTGCAACACCCGAGCCCCGTGCTCCTGTCAAATTACCCGAAGCCGAGTGTTCGCCACGTGGTGATGGCGAGATTGAAGCAAACCAACGTCGGAAGCGTGTCCACCCCCCTCTCAACATCGAGCCGGCAGCAACTCGACGACTCATGGTCTCAAGCTCTGTTCAGACAACGGAAGAGCCATTGCTGCCTCCGACCCCCAAGACGCCCAAATCACCTACTCGGCCACCGCCGCCGCCGCCAGTACAGCCTCCTGTGATCGAAAAACCCTTGATGGTCACATCCTCTACCCAGACCGAAGGCCCGCCCACGCGCCCACCACCCGCTGTCCCACCTGCTCTACCGTCGCTCCCCCCTCTTGCAATTCCTAGTATTAGCGTCCACCCTCCTACCAGTCAGCCTACCACACCTAAGGAGCCGAGATTGCCAGTGCTTTTCAAAGATTTCAGTTGTCAAGTTGCCTTGCCCTCTTCATCCTCTACAACCGAGGCAGCGGTACAGACGGAAGGCATACAGACTGACAAGCGAATGGCACTTCTTCCACCCCATCTCCAGCCCTCTGCCATTTCCTCCCGGCCTACCTCACCAAATCCAACATCTGGGGTGGAAACAACGAAAAGCTTCACACCTGTCCCCGGCAATGTCCCACCACGGAACCCGCGTCGACTCAATAGGCAAAGTTTTAGCGATCAGCCTTCCTCGCCAATTTCTCTCCCCGAGGATGACACCCTTCATGATGCTTATCCGGGCAACAACGATGATGGCCCTCTCTCCAACCAGAAGGCCCCAGTGCGTCGGCCGCATCGTTTTAGTAGCCTCTTCGCTGGCTTTGATGGAGGTAGCTCTGACGAAGCAGACGATTTTGGTGATGTAGACTTGAGTGATTTGGAGTACCGAACTGCATTGTCTGCACCGCGTCCCAAGTCTATCTCAAGTCGTCCTGGTAAACGCAGCTCAACTGGCACGACTGAAACCTACGGCACGATCCCCACATCCCCTGAACAGATTACTATGCGACAGGGTCCTCGTGTTACCACAGAAATCCATCATGCTTTTACCACCAAGCCTGGAAGGGGCTTTGAGAAGGGCCCTGCTGCCATGCCATCCAACCGGGCTAGCGTGATGCGAAAAGCTGCGATGATCCAGAATGGAATTGCCAGTCATCAGGGCCAAGGGCGGGCGAGGAGTCCAAGTTTACCTGATAATAAAAACCCTCCTCCATTCCCGATCCCCACAAGAGCCAGCTCTAGAAACGTGCCTCCGAGTGCAAGTGCTCCGAGCGATGGTCAGAGAAGCCCAACTCGAGGAGACTTCTTCCAGCGTCGTGGATCAGGTCGCGTCTACCGGGCAGGTAGCGTACGAAAGGTCAGGTCTGCCGCTGCATTGCCGCGTAACCACAGACATCGTAAGCAAGGCAGTCGATCTTCACCTCCGCTGTCTCCTTCTACCGAGGCACCTGAGAGCCCAGGCCTGCCTCCGTTGCCTAAGAACGACATCACGACTCCTCGCACTCGGGCTCGTCATAGTGGTCAATATAGGCATCAGCATAAGCTTTCTACCAACACTGATAACACATTCAATACATACAACTCTTTCAACACATACAATACTGGCAATACGCTCAATACTTCCAGCACGGATCCGCCCTCCAACCCGAGCAACCCTCAGAATACGAGTGTAGTCGATGCCATCGCACAGACCATGGTTGGCGAGTGGATGTTCAAATATGTCCGCAGAAGAAAGTCTTTCGGCGTTGCGGAGAGTAACGGAAAGGACGATACCGGCAACGATCGCCACAAGCGATGGGTTTGGCTTGCACCTTACGAGAGGGCTATCCTCTGGAGTAGCAAGCAGCCATCCTCTGGTAGCGCCTTGATGGGTAAGGCTGGCCGAAAACGTAAGTTGCTCACATCGATTCTATGATTGATATTGACTAACAAACACAGTGACTATACAATCTGTTCTGGATGTTAAGGACGATAATGCTCCACCAAAGGGAGTCGCAACAGTGTTCAACCGATCGATTCTTATTTTGACACCACAGAGAGCCCTCAAGTTCACGGCAGATTCTGCTGACCGGCACTATATCTGGTTGACAGCCTTGTCGTTCCTTGCACATTCATCGCAGGCAGTCCCCGAAAATATCTCTGCACCACCTCCAATACAGCAAACGCCACTGCCTGACTTTGAGGCTCCTCGCCCCAAACTGAAACGGGGTGGAATCAGAGACTCTATCCGTCTTGCCAAAGGCCGGACGGTTGGTCCTCGTGCTGGACCACCTAGTGTTCCAAGTATCCCAAGTATCCCCAGCGCACCCTCTTCACAACTCGGAGACGTCACTAGTTTTCCTGTCACGGAATCTGTAGGAGGATTCTCAAGTGCACACTCTCGAGAAGACTCGAGAGATGCTGCGGAGCCCCCATTTATACCACGTTTCCATGATAGGAACCAGGGAAACCAGGTAAGCGTTCACGGGCGTAAGAGAAGCAATACAGGCGGCCATGTACCGCCGCCGCTCTCTTTCCGGGGATTTTCTGGACCCATTGGGGGTGTTGGTCACCACCAGTCCACCAATAGTACTGCTGGTAATAGCACTGGAACTGCAGGTTCTTCGGATATTTATCAGTCCCAGGCTTCGAGCAACGGAACTTGGGCAATGAGCCAAGCAGGCTCACAGCGAACTTCTGAAGCTTCTTCACGACCAAGCAACTTCTTCGATGCTATTGGTACTGTGCGAATGGAGGCCTTTATCAGTCCACTGGCATTTTCTCAGTTCAACGACTATCCGGATGAACAGGATGAATTCCGTCACTCGCTTCGCAGACGGAGTAAAGAACAACGAAGGCGACAAAGTCGAAGCAGACATCGAGATAGTTATAATTCTCGCAGCACCCGTGCAACACACGATGACTATTACCATGGAAGCAGAACTGCCGGAGAGGAGGACTATTTCCGTGATGATCCCTTCAAGGGATTCTAGCATCCATTTGATTCAGCACAGTAGCCACGACGGCAATTATCACTTTCATTATTTCTCGCTTTCTTGGTCATGTTCATTGGTTATGGCAGAGCTTTACGCAGCATTATACCCTTTTCTGTATAAATATTTGGGATCGGTTAAGGACTGGGCCCCCGCGGGCTAGTTGACAATCATTTATGTGTGGAGTTTTGGTACTATCTTTCTGCTAAATACTTTGTGTACACTGAAAACCTGGGAAGATTTAGGGGCTGTGGGATCCGGAGGTTGATGTAAGTGAAGTAGATGGTATGTCTCAGCAGATATAGCTTGTTGGTTAAAAAAGGACATGCACATCATCAGTCCAATCCGGTTCAAAGAAGCCAGGTTGGTCTTGAAAAATAGATAGATAAAGGTAAAACTGGCATCGCCCATCTTGACATTGAAGCCACCAACTGATGTGAAGCTTTCGTTTCGGATCTTCTGCTGCCAAGTTGATGGATTTAAACAGGATTGAAGTCTTCGTCATAATAATTGTCTTGCAGTTGGAGACAGGGTTGATAGACAAAACCATGGAAAACTGAAGCATTGCCCCACCAGCGAAATTTCCCACTTACTTACCCCGCGACTCATTGGTGTATGTAGTTCTTCAAGCTTCATTATTTTCTCTTTGCTTACCTATTACCTGGACACATAGAAGTCAAACAAGGACAGACTCGCCTTTTCTCCCCGTTGACTGCGGGTCATATCAAGAGTTGATACCTACATACTACCTGAAACTTGCTTTCTGACTCAACCACGAGCCAGGCTGAAGCCACAATCATGGCCAGTCCCGTGGTAATGGAAACTCTCGAGGAGATCCAGACACGGCATCGTCGTGAGCTCAAGGACCTGCAGGGCCGCATAACGGGAAAGAAGAAGAATGCCACAAAGAAGACGCGCAAAGGCGTAAACGACGAATGTGCAGAGATGGAGCGCCAGCTGCGTGAAAAGCAAGCCACCGAGATCGCCGCTTTGAACAACAGCGATGACAACAGCGACGAGGGCGAAAGTACCCACACTGAAGCTCAAAACCAGCTCCAGGAAGACATTCTAGTGAAAGAGACCGAGAAGCTCTCCGTCTCAGAACCGGAACAGCAGCAGCAGCCGCCGGCGCCGGGAAAGAAGCGCAATCGTCAGAAAGAGCGGCTTGCTCGACGTGCTGCTGAGCTCGAGGCTGAGGCGCAGCGTGCAGAAGAGGAAGCATCCAGTATGACCAATCACCGAGCCAAGGAGAGCGAATATATGAAGTCGACGTTTGAGAAGCATGGGCTCGTGGAGAAAGATATCGCGCCCGATGGACATTGTCTATTTTCAGCGGTGGCGGACCAACTCGGCCAGAATGATATTCCTCTTGGAGACAGTGGCACCAAAGACCCAGCATACAAGACGGTGCGACGAGTGGCTTCAGAGTATATGTTGGAGCATGGAGACGACTTTGCGCCGTTCCTCGAGGAAGACCTCCAAGACTACGCTCGCAAGATGCGAGATACTGCTGAATGGGGCGGCCAGCTTGAGCTCATGGCACTAGCACGACAGTATAAAGCAGAGATCCGAGTGGTACAAGATGGGCGCCTTGAGCGTATTGGGGAGGAAGAGGGAGCCGAGTCAGGCAAAACATTATGGCTGGCATACTACAGGCACGGCTACGGCTTGGGAGAGCACTACAACTCTCTCCGAAAGGCACCATCATGAGAAGGATAAAGAGGTCACTTTTGTTCTTGTGCGTACATCGGCGAAAGATCATATGGTGGTTGTATGGTATCGAGACGTAAAAAAAAAAAAGGGAGATTCGGTGGCCAAACCATTCGGCATGGTTATCGACTCCAGACTGAGAGGAAGTCAAGCACGGCGCCATCTGGGCTGGTGCCGGCCTTGTGCGTCCGAGTTGGTTTGAGCAGACTCAGTCGATGTAGAGCGTCGGCCCAGGGTTTTGAACAAGGGTCTTCATGGACGGTACCGTCGTCGTTGTATGCAATTTCTTCGCCAGGAGCTGCTAGGAGGGCTTCATAGAGCTCTGGGGAGACCCCCCATGGGGGACCATTGGCGGACATGGGTTTTGTCGAAGGGAATTCGAGACAAACGAGGCGACCATCATGAGAAAGCAGCTCGGTCATGCGCTTGGCCCATTTTGGTCTTGCTTCGCGAGGCAGAGCGCATAGAAACTGTACAGTTAGTTGGCTTGCTGAAAAGTAGAGGCGCCCAGGATATGTATCAACCCTGGGCTTCGAGAAGCGGAGTTACCGTATAATCGTAGATCAGGTCAAACTGGCCATCAGCGCCAGCACCTTTGGCCCAATCTTGTCCAAAGAAGTCACCAGTAACCCAGTGAATATTGCCTTTATCCAACCCATCGACAGGTTTGTATAGACCTTCTGACTCGGCTTGCTTTTGGTTCTTGATAGCCTCCTCCTTTGCAGCAGCACTGAAGTCGAGGCCCCAGACATCATAGCCCCACGAGCTCAAAAGCAGAACATCATGACCACGCCCGCAACCGGGGACTAGAGCCTTCTTCTTTTCAATAGCGCCTGCTGAATCTCGGAGGGGATGGCCACGATGATCATGATGTTGGGAGGGCGGTACGAGATCAGGTCTTTGAGCGAGGAGGTCGTGAAGAGCAATGGAGGCGGTCCCGCGGTCCCATGGTGTTAAAGCCTCTCTCCAGCAACTATCCCACTTCTCACCCTGCTCTGCGAAGGGAACAGTCGAGATGCGGTCTTCCAAAGGGTTTTCGGTAGCCATTGGCGCTTATGGGAGGAGGGGGAATACGAAAGCGAGACTATGTGGCGGTGATGAAAGGTGAAGGATAAATTTGCTCGATCTGGGGATACAACTCGAGCCCTCAGATAGCGCGCGTTATGAGGTGAGGGGGAGGGTCCTGTCGGCTCGGGATGGATCGATATAAGTTCGGGATGGAATAGGATGGTGGGGTTAGACAATGACGAAAGAGGGACGTTTGTGGAGAGCCATGAAAGCTGTGGAGGTTAGCAATCGGTATCAGTGATTAAGGTACAGAAGTGTGTCTTTGCTTGAGGAGAATAATGTAGGTACTTACTTACCTATTAGGTAAGTAGCTGAGATACTGAGGTTGGAGATGAAAAGGGCATAATCAAATCATTTTTCATTTGGTCGCGTGAGTTACTCAAGTTTCGGAAGGAGAATTTGTACGGACATCCGGAGCACCTTCTGTAGGCCCTCGCCTAGCGCGTACGCTAGGTACCTACCTAAATGCCCTGTGGAAGGCATCTAAACTTCCATTGGCTTTGTTCTCTGAGGAGTTGCTGTTTCTTACCAGGTAGGTATGTACTATATGTATTAATGAATGAGTGATTGGGCGAGGTACTTAGATATGGCACCTTTCATGTAAGATGAGATGATGACGGGCGAAACAATAGTTCATTGACACAAGGTCTTATGAATGACGGTAGGGGCTTGAAAAACGTCAATAACTACCTATGTTTCCCTGTCTTAGAGCATGGGCATGAGCCTCAACCGCAACGTAGTGAGTGATATAATTAGCCTTCTCCCTGCTTGGTAAATGACTTGCATGAACAGGCCGGTACAAAGGGCCCACGGGAGCAACTATAGTCAGATCTGTGGTTACACACTTATGCCCTGTAACGACGCACGACAAAGCATCTGCTCACGAGATACTGAGTAGAGGGATCAGACAAGCAACATAGCGATTAGATACACAAAAGCCGACAAGCAAACAAGCAACCTACTCAAACAGAACTAACTGATCTACAATACAGATACTCTACTCGCCTCGCCTATACAGGCATACGTACCCAGTCATCGACTTGCTTTCTTCGCATCTGGTTCAACCGACCGACCTCTTGAAGATAGCCGTGAACTTGGCCCACGTAACTCCCAAAAGACTCCACCTGCGAGGCCTCTCAGTGTTGTCACTGTCTTGGTCGGAGGGCCTTGAGGAGTGCAAAGGGATAGTCATAATCATCCTTGGAGAGTTTGTCCTTCATGGTACCATACACTTCTTTGAATTTTTTGCGGAGTCCACCTTTGTTAGCCTTCAAGGGTGGTTCCAGTTCCTTAGAAGCATCTGTGGATGCGGCGAGTGCTTCTGGCTGGCTTGACGACTCGTCGACCAGACCCTGTCGTGATGGTACATCAACCGTAGCTTCAGGTACCACAGTATGTGGGATCGTCAAAGATTCGGCGCCAGTGATATGGCCCGGGATTCCATCAGACTCTTGGTTCCTTTGGAATGACTTGAGGGTGACGTCGCACATGTTCTTCACCATGGCTTTCCCTTCATCCGAGAGCTCTCCCTTCTCCTTCAACTCATAAGCAGGCATTCGTAAAAAGCCTTCCATGACCCTGACTGCGTCCACAATAGCCTCTTCACCTCCTTCGAACCAATCCTTGTGCCCTTGGCCGCACTTTTTACACCTTTTAACCCGTACATTGATGTCCCTGAGAAACAAGTGCACCAGTCTATGGGCTTTGGGAGCACCGTTGAATAAATTGGGAGACTCATAGACTGGCTTGGTCTCACATGATGCGCCATAACAGTTGTTGGGCCGTGATAGACTTGTGTTGACAGTAGTAGCGGTCCATCCAATCTTGAACAGATCCTTTTGTTCCCTGTGCTTCAGGACATACACCTTGCCCTCTCCCGCCTGTGCATGCGTGAGAGGCTTCCTCAATTCCATGACGATGGCGGCTTGATTGCTCAAGGTTCCGTTTCTCTTTAACCCAAGTCCACTAAACTGCGGGTGAACAAGTCGTGGCTCATCATCCGAGTCATTCTCCTTCATAACTGTTTCGTCCATGATGGACTCCACCATGTCGGGTTGTTCTGCGGCAACATCTTGCCTGGAATGAATAGGGCGCGACTTTGGAGGATCTCTGAGGGTTACAACATTCACCTCGGTAATGCTTGGAACAATGTTATCTTGCTGACCAAAATCAACAGCCCTGTCAGGAGTCGAATTAATGCCGAGTGGAAATGGGGGAACATATCTCGGGCTCTCGTCAGATGTTGACGTATATTCAATCGTAGGGAGAGGGTTGTGATGGTCCATCCTGCTGGGGGTGCTCAGGATGAAACTGTCAAAGCTGGAAGCCAGACTTTTTTCTGAGGTTGCTGGTGTGCCGTGGTCGACAAGAGGACTTGAGAGAGGTGTACCGTATCCCACAGTAGGCGATTCGAAGACTTGATCCTGAGTCGGTGTACTAGGTAGTGACACTTCAGATGAAGCGTAACCTGAGCTCTTAGTTCGGAACCTTTCCCAGTCGCCAAAGCACTCTTCAAGGAAACCGCCCGAATTATGCCTCTTGCAGTGAACCAACGGGAGAAATTCTTTAACCGTCGAATAGAACTCGACCTCGTTTGAGAATGTTTCCTTTGCCATCAATTTATTCCATACCGCCTTGGCTTCTTCTTGCTTCCCCTTAGTGCCAGTCCTGCAATTGGCAGCCTGGCATTTTTCAAAGTTGGGATAGTTGGGATCATCGTCAGAGGCAGAAAGTTTGACAAGAAGAGTGATCAGCTCTTTGAACACAGGCTGCTCAGAAAGAGGGGTCATTTTGATTCGAGCAGTTGAGACACTCAACTCGGGCTCAGGAGAATGCATTGCTGTGCCTATGGATGGCCTATTAACTATGGAAAGTCAAATGGCTGGGAGCTCTGCTTGCAAGGGGGTTGAAACTGAGTACCAGGATCAAGATACTCAGCCTCGAGAATCATATTGTTGGTTCGACTCGCTATGTTGCGAAGTCATGGTGTGATCATGGCTTGTATGCAGTTGGTTGTGTCCTGCAGACGGAAGGATTTCCCCGGGTCAGAATAGGAAATGGATGCACCAAAGCTGAAAAGTGTTGAAACGTCAGGGGGCATACATCATGTCAAGGGCATCCAACGCTCGAGCCTCATGAAGACATTATCAGCCTTCCAGATGGCCTTGTGTATCTGTACAGTATACCTAGCAGAGTTTCAGTTTATGTAAGGTAGTGTGTGACCTCCACGCTCCTAGCCACCATCTTTTGATGAGATGGAGGGTTGCAACACCTGGTCCTCCGGCAGGGAGATCCAGATAGACACGGAGTTGACCGATACAAAGTCTTGCTACCTTGTTAGGTCTCTGCTGCGCCGTCTAAGAACCTCAGTCAAGTGCGGGGGGCTCGTGGTGACCAGGCTTGGATAAGAGAAAAGGGAGGAGATAGGGGAACTTTTGAGATAAATCGTGATGTTCTGATATCCTGGTGACTTTGAATTTGCGGCACACGGAGGGGAGTCGCATGGTGATGTCGTTTTAGTTGCAACCTCTTCGCCAGTCAGCGGCTTGAAGGCTGAAGCTGAGCCTGGGGTTGGACATTGGCCAATGCTCCCAAGCTCTGTCCCGTAGCACGATAGCCCCATGTTAATAAGCGAGCTATGAATGCCGTCTCGAGCGCATACTTTCAACTGCGCTATTGACGGCAGTACATGGCTGAATGTAAGATAGGCAGTTACTGGTGATGCTGGTAGCTTTGCCTGAACAGTGGAGCTGGCTGGGTGCCAAGTGAAAGTGCCCAAGAAGCTGGACATAGGTACAAATGAGCTCACGTGCATTTGGTTCCGAAAGGCCAAAGAAATGCCGGTAAATGTACCTGCCTCGGAGGCACGAGCTAAAGTTCAAGACAAATTTGACGTTGTATCACACTTTAGTAGGTAGAGATTGGAAAATCAAGTAGGGAGGTACTGTAAATAGCTCTCATCTCGTTGTAGTACTGGGAGTATCATCCATACATATCATTCCCGTTATAGCCGTAGCATTTTGTTGCAAGATTATGAGTAATGCCAAAAAGAAAACAACCTGCCCGTGGTATATATATCATCACATCCAATCATCCATCTATGTGGTAGCAGCAGCAGCAGCAGCATAGAATTATCCCGTCGCAGAAGTGGAGAGAGAGAATGAAAAAAAAAAGACAAAAAGCAAGATGTCGTTCATGTGCCTCCATTTTTGAACCAAACGCCATAAACCCCGGGATGTTCGCTGTTGTAAAGGGTTTAAAAAAAAGAGGAATACATGTGTCGAAAGAAAGAAATGCAATGCAATGCAATGCGATAGACTGGAGATGCTGTTGGTATGACGACAGTCCCTGGTTGCGTCTTTGTCGGTTGTTTGCAGGTTGTTTGCAGAGAAGAAACCGAGCCGAGGATGGCGGTCGATCACAAGAATGGAGGCTTAAACTTCCTTGGTCGGATAAAAGCCGTCAATTGCGTCAGCGCCAAACGGAAATACGATGGCCTCGCTGTGGTCCCCGGCCCGACAATCCCACGTTGACTCGAGTAGAACAGCAGCCGATACATTTCGTCGGATCAAGGGCCGACGCTATGGACGATGGATGAATGAGGCCCACTACAAATGCGCGAGTGAGCTAGGCAAATCGTTATCGTCGTCGGGAAAACACATGCCGAAAGATGCCATCGAACCATTTTCAATAATGCAAGAAAAGGATCCATCGATAAGCGTTGCCCTGGGTCGAGTTGAGTTGCCAAAAGACAAAGAATGTGAACAAGGCATTGATGAGGCGTGATTGGTGAAATGCGATAAGCCAAACATGCCACAATCGCATAAATCCCCCAATGACATCTTGTAGTGATGCGCAGAGATGAACAGGCTCTTGTTGTCGAGACAGGCATGATTATCGCTTCTGTTTCTAGTTTTTCTTTTTCCTCTATCATCGCCCTTGGGAGAAGGGAGAACATGGCCAACGTAACCGAAAGAGGCAAGTCCCCTACAGGCCACACTCTTCAAAGTCGCGTATCATGATGGCCATTTGCGCCCGCTTAGCAGCCTCGGCAATGAGCGTGAAGTCTTGGAGAAAGGCGTCGGTTGAAGGACCGTTATTGCCCTGAGCGGGAGCAGGTTGGGGGACCATCTGTACAGAAGGAGACTGCTGAGCCGAGGAGTTAGAAGTTGAGCTGGAGGGAGCGTCCATTATGATGGTTGATGATCTTGATGACGGGATAGTGACGGACAATGTTGGTATAAGCGAGCGAGTCTAGGTTTTGGTGAGAGGAGGGACAGATACACGAGATAGTATAGTATAGAGTAGAAGGTCGGGGGAGAAGAATGTGGGAATGGGGTAGACTATGTATCCGTGAGGTTAGGCAGCCAAGAAATAAAGATACCGTAGCACAGTGACAGTTGATAAACTACTGTATGTATTGGATGTGTGTGCGTAGGATGATGTGGAGGTGGGTGTGCGTGCTGTTGACCCTGGCCAGGATTATGGATATACTATGCTTATGACCGTAAAGGTTGGTAGGTAGGAAGCACAGGTATTGCGTGGGGTAAAATGACGGGGTGTCACTCTCTTGTTCCCCTTTGGTCTGTTCTCAAGAATACATATGTAGGTAACGACTTGTTTCACACGCTTGCTGCCACCTCCTTCTGCAGGGTGACGTCCCGGTAATGGCTGTAGACTCTGGAAGTTGGCACGAGTGGTGACGTTCTTGACAACTCCCAACCTCAACGTTTGATTTTAGGTGTGGTCGGTGTATTAGGCTGATGCCGCAAACAGTTGGGTGTGCTGAAGACCCGCTTGTTAGGAGTTGACCTCTTATTCTGGCTGCGCTCCAGAACAATGATAAAGGGCCGAGTGTCTGGGGGCAGGATGCAAATCAAATCGTGAACGGAGACGGAGACGCCGGAGTGTGGAGGAGGTAACGAAAGATCATAAGAGAGAGGCCTAAAAATTCTCGAGTGGTTAGTAGGTAAGTGCCTACATAATAGGTATGTATAACAGTGGAAGATGCCGCACGCAGTCAAAACGACTGAAGCCGAGGAAACCAAGATAGGTAGCCCTGGCCAGGGTATCAAATGGATTGGATGGCACCACAGCTTGTGACTACCTAGTAGTTACCAATTGTTCACTTCATTTACACTTATCCGCAAGTACCGACCGTCTTCATCCACACGGTAACACACTGACAAAAAGCCCCAAGGTTACATGCAGCAGTAGACAACTGTTCTGTTCCTGGATCCTAAGTTAGATAATCGCGCGGCGGGGCAGAAAATGGAACCGAGAGAAAACAAAAAGAAGTCTTCTCTGCATTACCGCAACTCGAACTCGGCCTTATGCCCGGGAGCTAACCAGAGCTAGGAACTGGGGTCTGGTTATATCATGTCCCAGTGGATCTGGGGTGCAAGTGGGAGGGAGATGTGGGATCTCAAGACCCAACTTTTCTTTCTTGTTCTTTTTTTCTTTGCTTCCTCTTGTCATTGGAGCATTGGAGTCTTTTTTTTTTTTTTTTTGGTTTGACGAGTGGAAACTAGAGACCCTGAAAAAGACCGAGAGAAACCCATAAACTAATGCGAATAATAACAAGACGCTACTGTAGTAGTATCATGACATCGCATGAGATTGGATCGAGCCCTGCATACGTGCACCATTGTCGCCGCACTGCGGGCATCCTGCTCCGCTTAGACGCTCACCGCTCGTCTCATCTAATCAGTTGCCTATTACTACCTATCCTCTCTTCTCTTGTTTTTAGCCGTGATGCGTTGAACCCTCCTCGGCTCGGCATCTGTTTTATTATTCGTACAAGCGCCCACCAATCATTGGACCCTTGGACACAGATAGCGTGGGGTGTGTCTTGTGTCCCCCAATCCATCCCCAATCTCTGAAAATCGAGATAGTATTGGCTGGCTTATTATAATACCAAGCAAGCTCTTTGCAACTTCTCCAGTGATAAGCAGGATCGCCAGGAATAAGAGGTCATGTTATGAAAAGAGTATTCTATAGTTCGATGACCCCAGTATTCTTATTCAGGGACTCTTGGTACCTCCTTTTATAAAGTATTGATCTGCAGCGTTACCTCATTCTGCCTGCATATTCCATACATGTTGTCTATGCTCAGTCAGACAGGAATAAATAAGGTGATTCTTTGATTCTTCTTCTTCTTTTTGGTACAGTAAGGAATCACCTCACAACATCTAACCGGTCCGTTCAGCCTATCTGACATCCGTAATTATCTGCCCAATACCAAAAAAGCTTGAGAATAATTACGACCCTACTCTTTTAGCGAGCCTCAGTCCGACATAAGGGCCCGGGTTCTTTCGGAATTGGGTTTTCAGTTGGTGCGCTTGGCTATCATAGTGGGGATCCCGAACTTTCCCCTTCTCCAACTTGCTAGAGTTGGAACCAGAAAAATCACGACAGGGACGCTTGAGAATCTGCCCACTATAAACCAATTCTCCATTTTGCGCGGCTCTGTCGGACATCATTCACCGATGCTCCCACTTCGTCTACCCTGCCTCGGGCCTCTGATCCGTCAGGTCTGGCCTGCGATCATAAAACGTCAGCCCAGAATTCAACGTTAGCGTAGAGGTGGATATCTCAAACCCTTGATAGAGCCGCTCTTGCGGAGCCAGTACTGAACCGCAGTCGCCCACCTAACTAGACTACCTCAAGAGGTGCAGTGTCCGAGGCGCTTCTACAAGCCGCCTTGAGCGGATTAATGGATATTGCAGCCCGCTTTTGAAACCCCGGTCTTCACATATGCCGTAATTTGACGCAAGCTCATGAATCGCGT